CCCCCCCCCCCCGAGTTTCTGTCTAGTGGACCAGGCAGTCGGCCTGGGCTGTCACCTGCTGTGGTCCAGTGCGGCCCCGCCCCCCGCCTTTACCTGGACCATTTTCATACTGGCGCTCCATGACCCCCACCCACTTGGTTCTGAAACCTTGGCTGTGCCGTGGACCATTGCGTGGGGCACCTGACCCTGGGGAGAAACCTGCCATTGGAGAGTCTGGGTGCAGGTGGGCCCAGGGGACCACCTCCCCTCCCCCCCCAAAAGAGCTGGGGGCAGTGCTATTTCCGAGAGTAAAGACGGATCCTTTCTTGGTGCTGAGACATGGTGGTCCATGCCCACCTGAGAAGAGGGAGGAGAGAGCATGGCAGCAAATTATCAGGGGTGGGTCCTGGGGTTCCTGTGAGCCCCGGGCGGTGGCACTGGTGGGTGGTGGCTACGGGCTGCACTGCTGCTAGCAGGTGGACAGGAGCTGGGCTCTGCTTCTGCTGGGGAACCCTAGGTCTAGGTCAGCGCACTCTTGAAAGCCGTGCTCCATCCCTCCCATCGGTGACAGTAACACTGGGCCCCCCGCCCCCCCCCAAGGGGTGGCCTTATGTCTGGTTACCTGGTTATATTCTTGGCAGACCCTTTCCTATCAGAGTTCTTTCTGGGGAGAGCTTAGAGGGTTGCTGAGACCCCCCCTCTGGTCCCTGCAGTCCGTTTTTGCTGAGTCTGCCCCCGGACCAGGTGAGGGGGACCCTGGACCTCTGACTGCACCCATCAGTAACCATGTGTCTTTCCAGGAGAACAAGGGTTCTGTGGAGATCATGCGGAAAGACCTGAATGACGCCCGGGACCTGCACGGCCAGGCTGAGTCTGCTGCTGCCGTTTGGAAGGCAAGTGTCCTCCAGCCTGGGGTCTGCCCAGGGAGAGGGTGTGGGTGTGAGCCCTGACCCCATTTGGCAGGGATGCAGCGGAGTGATGCTGGCTGTGCAGCCAACCCTTCTCCCCAGGTGGGCAGAGGTGAGGCGGGAGGCCCCAGGGTTAGCCCTGGGACACAGGTGTCCCTCCGTGCTGTCCACCTGCCTGCCCTGCAGGGACACGTGATGGACCGCAGGAAGAAGGCCCTGACCGACTACAAGAAGCTTCGGGCCTTCTTTGCCGAGGAGGAGGAGCGTTTCCTGCAGGAGGCGGATAAAGAGGAGGGGTCTGCAGAGGACGAGGACACAGACCCGGCCGAGCGCTTTGGGTCACTGCTGCAGGCTGTCTCAGAGCTGGAGAGGAGGCACCGCAACCTGGGGCTCAGCATGCTGCTTCAGGTGGGCCCCCTGTTGTGACCGGGCCCCAGAGGAGGGTGCCAAGGCCCTGCGGGGTTGGGGGCAGGCATCAGCAGGTGGCTGGGGCGCCTTTGGCCTGGGTGTTCTCACAGCAGCTTCCTCTCCCTCCACACCCTCCTGCAGTGATGTCCTGCCCTCTGCTGGCTCCAGACGGTAACAGCTCCATCCACCCTGGCCTGTCACCCAGCAGCTCCTCCATCACCTCCTCCTGGACCTGCAATGACCTTCACCCATGAGGGTCTGCACCGAGGTGCACACGCAGGATGCATACCACGGGTGGCCACCTTGGGTGGGCCAAGACTGCCCCTAGCAGTGTCCCTGTTCCCTTTCCCTGTGGGTATTCGTGGTCCCCAGGCTGTAACCGTTTTACCGTAGAGACCTGTAGCTACTGGTGGGTACTGTTGACCCCAATGTATCACGACTCTTCATAAAGTTCTTGTCGCTGTCACTGAGTCTCATTTGCCTGGGGTCTCCGTGGCCCACGGTGGTTGCCAGGCAGCCCAGATTGTGCAGGCCTGGCACCCACCCCATTTAAATTCCACCCACGATGGGGCCGCTCTGTTGGACATGCAGACCAGACCCCTGCACATGTGTGGGGCATCCAGTTAGGGTGCAGGGAAGAGAAGGCTCACGGCACCTGGAGGGGAGGGCAGGCAGGCAGGTCGACTGTTTGTGGCTAGAGCTCCCTACAGCATGTGTCCTGGGGCAGAGGACCAGTGCGGGTGCAGGTCACCCCCAGGCCTGCACGTGGACGCCATGTTCCCTCTCGCTCTGCCTCTGGCTCCCTTTGCTTCAGGTTTTCTCCAACAGACAAATGTGGCAGAGTTGTGACTTAGTGGTAGCATCATCATGTACATTAGGGCAGGCGATAGTGCCGCAGCACAGAGATGGGGATGTGGGGTCCTAGAATGTTGACACGGGGCCATTAAGGATGGCTGAGGCTGGGAGTCTTCCTAGATGGTGCAGACTTAAGGCCTGTAGGTGCATTCGCACATTCCCAGATGAGACCTCAGCACTATTGCCCCTCTGTTTCTGAGAGTTTGGGTGTGGCTGGTGTTCATGGAGCCCAGTAGAGAGGGCTTGCTCCAGCCGGTTTGCCTGGCATCCCTCCTCCCATCTGCCTCCTCCCCTGCCCAGAGGGTCTCCAGGGACGTGCTGTATCCACACTGCTGCAGGAAGAGGGCTCCCGCAGATGGGACTTCTCTCTGATGGGCTCTCTGCCTCCGCTGAGTGACCCTGGCCAGCTGCCTGCCTGCCTTCTCTGTGGAGATGTGCTGGACAAACCGTGGGACCATGGCCAAGTAACAATAATCCTGACTCCTCAGACCCAGGGACAGTGCTAGAAGCGTCCCACTCTAGATGTGGGGTGGACATAGGGAGGGCACTGTAGGGAGCCTGTGTCCAGCAAGCCAGGAACATTCTAGTGTGGATGGCCTGCAGTTGCAGCCAGGCCCACTGCCCACTTGGTAGTTTCTCGAAGTGCCCCGCTGGCCTCCAGGGCCTCGTGACCCACCCCAACTGCCTGCTCCCTGCTGGCACCACCCCCCATCGTGCCCCTATTCAGCCCTGTGGAATAGTGTTGCTCCTCCAGATTTGTGCGGCCGGCCAGTCCCCTGCCTTCGAGTCCGCGCTCAAATGACATCTTACAGAAACTGTACAATATCTTCACAAGCTCCTGCGTGTGAGGACAAGCAAAGCAAGGTCTCGTGTGGGCTCTCAGCAGTCCTCGTGTGTGTCCCTCCGTGTGATCCAGGTCCGTGCAGGGGCAGGAGCCCGAGGAGAGCAGGCAGGGCTCTGCACAGAGGCCCTGAAGTGGAGGTTTGTCTGCTAGAAGACAGGGGGCACTTTGAGGAAACTGGTTCCTTTGTGCAGGGCCCAAATGCCTTTCCCTCCGATCCCCCTTATCTATCCTAGGCGGACCTGCTTGTTTCCAGTTTCAGGGATGTTGAGTCTGGCGATCCCCCTTATCTATCCCAGGCGGACCTGCTTGTTTCCAGTTTCAGGGATGTTGAGTCTGGCGGGCAGAGACACACTGGGGGGCCCTTTGCACTCTGCGGAGTGCTGATTGACCAGGTGCAGGACAGCAGCACGGCAGGAGAGGCCCACACCATTGGTCAGACAGGCTCCGGGAAGGGCCGGGGAGGTGGCGCCCCAGTTCTCTGTTAGGGCTGGAAACAAGGAACCCAGATGATGTGGGTCAGGACGCCCTGAGGGAGTGTGAGCCAGTACCGCTGCTTTGAACAGCCGCCTGAGAGAGTAAGCTCCATAAACAGGAGAGGCAGGCTGGCTGGGAGGTCGGTGGGGGGGGGGGGCATGCCCGGGACCCGCCCCCAGCCCCCCAGACTTGGTGATTTGCCAGAAAAGCTCCCAGAGCTCATTGAAGGCTGTGGTGCTCACAGTGACCGTTTATCACAGGGTGAGGAGACATGTGAAGGGAGAAGTGGGGAGCAGCAGAGTCCAGTAAAAGTGCCCAACACAGGTGCCATGAAGTCCAGCCGCAGACCAGAGACCCTGCCCTGTGTCACGTGGTCAGGCCACCTGGAATGGCCCAGGGCCCCTGGGCACACAGACATTCCTAGGAGGGTGCCCTGGGGGTTAGGTTCAGAGATTGCCTCCCAGCCAACTACACCCTGGGCCGGGTGCTACCCTGTACCCTGTGTCACCGCACTCCAGCGTGCCTTGGATGACAGCATCTTCTGGCCCCGGTGTACCTCGGACAGTCCCGGAACCTTGTTTGTAGTGTTGAGATGTTGGGCGTGACCTGGGTCCCCGTTACAGTGTGGGGGCTGTGTGGTGGAGCTGGTCCTGCAGAGATGTGCACACAGGGTGCCCCGACCGGATGTGCTTGCCTAAGACCAGCAGAGGTGTCCGGGGAGAGGCTGGTCTGCCGATGGTGTCCTGGATGCAGGTGCAGCTCCTCCCAAGGGGCAGAGCTCTGTAGACCTGGGCACTGACACCCACCCTCTCACCGTGGGCGGTGGGGGTCCTGCGGTGGGGTGGGGTCACAGCAAGAGAATACTGTCAATCCTTGCCTGCCAGTGGGGCCACCCAGTGCTTGGAACTGTCCCCTCAGGTAAGATACAAAGGCTTGTACAAAATGCCTGTTCTGCTCAGCCGGGCGGCCCGCGGCCAGAGTTAACACAGGCTGGCATGTCACAACTGACGTGGGTCATACTAAGACCATGCAGGAAACTCCTGCAGATCAGGAAGAGCCCAGAGCAATGGGGTTCAAGACCCACAGCCAAGGCTGGTGCAGAAGAGGAGCCAGAAGGCTCAGAAGCCCAGGGAGAAATGCTCAAAGTTAGTAGTGCCTGGAAGTCACAATGTCCGGATGGAGATGGGGCAGTGGACAGCAACCCCCCCTTCCCCTGCACCCTTACCCCAAGCCCCTGCTCTCCTGCTGCGTTCTGGAGTTCAAGCTGCCAGATGTCCTGGCATTTAGGGTGTAGTGACCCTGGACCCAGCAACCCTGCTTACAAATGTCCTATTGCAAAGATGTCCTCCCCAGGCCCACAGGGTGATGCACATGCCAGCATTCAAGGCTCTGTTGTCATGGGGGAGGGGGTGGGCAGGGCAGACTCCAGTGCCCCACAAGGGGGAGGTGGGAAGTCAAATGGGGGATGGAGGCCACGGAGTAGGCCGCAGCCCTGGGGACACAGGAACTAGACACGGGAACTTGGACTGTCTAAGGGCACCATGCTGAGTCACAAAAATAAAGAAGTATAAGATGGCACTATTTGGGGCACTTGGGTGGCTCAGTCCATTCCAACTGGCTCAGGTCATGGTCTCACTGCTCAGGAGTTCGAGCACAGCATTGGGCTCTGTGCTGACAGCTTGGAGCCTGGAGCCTACTTCAGATTCTGCCTCTGTCTCTCTGCCCTTCCCCTGCTTGCACTCAGTCTCTCAAATATAAGATATTAAAAAAATTAAACTAAAAAAAACACAAAACAACAGGACGGACTTTTTACTGAAACTTAAAATGTGTGCACGCCGAACAATTCAAGGTTGCAGGACACTCCAAAAACTGGTGAGTGGTACCTGTCTGAGTAGGTGCCTTTGGGGAGGGCAATGAAGATAAAGGAAGTGACAGCAAAGCAGAAGAAAAGGCACCAAGGTGACCCAGCAGACACTGGGGGTCCCTACCTAACACAGGACTTCACGCCTGGGAAGGAAGTCAGTACCAGGGTGGCGTAAGTCACTCGGATTTCTGTAACTTGCTCTTCATCAAGTGTGTGGGTGCCTGTGCGTGTTTGGGGGGGGAAAATCCTGAGAAGCTTTTGGAATATGACAGCGGTGTACATCCTGGAAGGTGTTGGGGGCTGCAATAAATGAACAGAGAACATCGACTCTAATGTGCATGTATACTGGTCCAGACCTACAGACTCCACGGGTCTCTGGCCCACCACACACCATACAGATTTCTGGGGACCTTCCTCTGCCCATCCTCTTTGGAATGTCTTCTTTTTCCTTCTTTCCTATCTTGAAGACTCCAAGCCAGGCAGGGGTCCCCAGCGGCAGCTGCTTCCAGAAGCCCCCTGCCCTGGGCCTCCCTGGGCTACCAGAGCCGCTGTCCCCAGAGCATCCAAAGACCTGGCACAGTGCGTGCCCAGCATCTTCTCAGGGAAGGCTAGTTCCTGGAAGGGCACAAAAGACCACAAACTGGGTAACAGCTGGAACTCGTCAGAAAGTGACATTTGTTTGGGCAGAAGAAAGCAGTAAAGGGATGCCTGAGTGGCTTAGTCGGTTAAGCATCTGACTCCTGATTTCAGCTCAGGTCACCATCTTGAGGTTTGTGAGCTCGAGCCCTGCCTCTGGCTCCTCCAGGACAGTAGTGAGCCTGCTTGGGATTCTCTCTGCTTTTCTCTCTGCCCCTCCCCGGCTCTGGAGCATGCTCTCAAAATAAATACGTTGAAATAAAAAAGCAGTAAAGTAGCTGCCAGGCACTCGGGAGTCCCCTCAGTCAGATGGCTTATCAAAGTTGAGGTGTTTCATTCATTTCCTAACAGGAATCTTACTCTGGAGTCATGATTTATTAAATATTTTTTAAAAATTTATTTTGAGAGTGAGAGTGTGAGTGGGGGAGGTGCAGAGGTTTGCATTGGGCTGTGCAGTAATAGCAGAGCCTGATGTGGGGCTCACACCCATGAACTGTGAGTTGGTGACCTGAGCTGAAGAGGACTGAGCCACCCGGGCGTCCCTGAAGACCTAATTTAAATGAGACAAATACACTGAAATCCACCCCGACCCCCCTTTTGAAGATAATCTTTTGGACTCTGAGGTTTTATTAAACATTCCTCCACGAAGCGATGTGCTAGTGAGCCAAGTAAGTATGAAGCCACTTACAAAGAAAAAAATGTCAGTTAAAACATCATCAGCACAACAAATGGTCAAGT